GTTGCACATTGTCTCTTATCTCTTTAAAGTTTAAAACCTTCTCAACCCAAGCCTGAGATATGGCATGAGGATTTCCAAATCTTGTCTTTAGTCGCTCAAGTGCTGCCTTGAAACCTGCACTAGGATCAGGATTGTACAGGCAGTGACTGATGGCATCTCGAGCCTTTCCTTCGGTATACTGATGTAGACGAGTTAACTTCTCCTCCGCAGCAACAGATTCTTTGTCCACCATTGTTGTGAAGAGTCTCATAAACTTCCAATACTGAAGAGGGTCACCATTGAACTTGATCATATCAGTTGGTGGGAGTCTTAGGGAGTCTACTTGGGCTTGATATTGCTGCCTTGAAAACTCTAGTAGTTGTGAGATTGAATCTTCTGATATTGGTGACTGTGATGGCTGTGTCATTGTTGGGATCTTGCCAGCCTTTGGTGTAGAATACAGATCTACAGTTAGAGCTTGCATCCTTTGTTGATTGTGTAGCATCTGTGCATCTAGCTCAGCTTTGTGTTGTATTCGCTGAAGTTCTAGTTCAAACTCCTCCTTGTTGCNGCAGCCCCTGAATTTGGATAGAGCTATTTTAATTCATCAAGTTCTTAGTTCCAAACTGTTTTGTAATATAAGAGGGTTCCCAAAGGTGCACACAAGTGTTCCCACAACCCCTCGATTCATAACTTGCAGCTCTGATTTGATTTGATGCACTCCACAGGGGAATATCCTTTTCTTTGTCTGTTAGGTCCTGTATTCTGTCTGTTCAGAATGGATTTAAAACTCCTCGTCTCATTTTTCACTCACAACAGCTTTGTATTTTTAATGTAACATTGTCTCTGAAAGGTCTGTAAAAAATTAAATCGACTCAAAGTAAGATTTCTTTAGCTGCTAAATAAGAACTATTATTATAAACACTTGGTTCCAGAAAAATGGTAATCCCTCTTTATAATGACCATGATAAAAAAATACCTTACTGTATTATGACAGCAAAGACTAATCGAGTTTCCATTGACCATGAAAATGTGCAAATTAGAATTTCAAAAATAAATTTGCTCAATGGAAACACGTCAAT